ATTGTGCTCATGGCTTCTATAGATACAACTAGGTACAACAACAAATGATTCTCCTTCTTTAGGTTTGGAGAGGTGGGGGTGTTGGGACCGATTGACCAATAATGCAGGAATTGAGATTTAATGAATTCCACTTGTTGTAATTGAAGTATTGAACAAGATCACAAATAATCCAAGAACAAGATTAAAGTAAGTAAAAGAAGAATTGACAGAAGGAACGATTTTTTATTAATTTACCATGAAAGGAGAGTACAATACAGCAAAAGGCTTCAATAAAACTGACAGAGGAGTCTTGTATTTATATTATAAAATTTAGCCCTAAAAGAGTCCCAAAAAATGTAAGAGATCTAATGCAATTTAGACTCCTATTTGAGTCACACTTCTAACAATCTTCACCTTGACTCAAATTCCGGTACAACGAACGAAGCTCCAAAATTTCTCCACCTTGAGAAATGATCCGTCTGCATTAGATTAACCTTGGTTAAGCTCCTCAACACAGTAACCAAACTCTCCACTAAAACATGTTCCTCCGCCCGGCGTCCACACGCGACACCCGAACCCAAACCCGGGTTCCCAAAATTCCTCATGGAATTAACAATCACTGGACAGGGTCGAAGCACACCCTGTAGCAGAAACCACACCAAATGCACAATCAGAAGGTTCCTTGCCAATATTGTCGCCTTCAATGATTTCTAAAGCATTACAGACATCTCCAAAACTGTACCTACGCTCCATGAGTCCATTGGCATTACAAGAACACAGTGTACCCGCTAAAATTGGTGGCAAAGCGGAATCACCAACACTTCCTTGAGCAAAGTTCTTAATTGACCTAGAGCCAAACCCAAGAGGCACTATATCAAATTGAATGTCCACCATGGTACTGAACTTGTCCAAATGTCTCTGAACTGGTTCTGCGCTCCCCTGCAAGATGTACAACTGGGATTTCCTCCGTCCCTCCAATACAACCCGGACACCCCTTCGAACCTTCAAGACTCCACCTCCACCAGAAGATTTGTATCCTTTTTCATCCAAGGTACTCAGTGATATGAGATTCTTTGTCAAGTCTGAACATGGTGAACCTGATCAAGTGTCCTCACTGTTCCATCCTGTAGCCTCAATTTGACTCAACCGATTCCTACAACCCGGCAAGATTGGCTGTTTTCCATGACAACTTCGCCTTACTTCACCGTCTCATATGTTTGAAACAAAGCCCTATTGGGACACATATGATACGAACAAGCAGAATTCAAAATCCACTACTCAGGTTCCCCGTCAGATATAGCCCACATCACATCTCCATCATCACAAAAATTTTCAGAAATATTAGTCTCGATCGAATTACCTGATTGCCCCGCATGATTTGCATGTAAATCACCTTTACCCTACAATTTGTCACAATCTTTCTTGATGTGTCCTTTCCTCTTGCAGTAATAACAATACACATTGCTGTACTTCACCTTCAATCTATCCCTTCGTCGATCACCATGAGTAATAAGAGCATCCCCACTCCTGGATGTAGGATCTCCAACCAACAGCTCCATCTTCTCTTTTGAGAATAGGGCGTAGTATACCTCCTCAACGGATAACGTGTCATGACTATACAGAATAGTATCACGAAATGACGAAAAAGAATTGGGTAGCGAACACAACAGGACCAAGGCTAGATCATTTTCATCATATTTTACTTCCAACATCTCCAAATCTGCAACGATCTCCTTGAACACAGCAAGGTGGTCCTGCAGTGACCCTCCTTCCGCCATGCGATGAGAATGCAACCCTCTGCTTTAGAGTCAGTTTGCTCGTCAAACTCTTTATCATGCACAACTGCTCCAACTTGAGCCACAAAGCAACCGCTGTCTTCTCCTTCAAAACATCTTGCTGCAAATTGTTGGATAAATGAAGTTGGATTTGAGCTAAAGCCTTTTGATCCTTTCGTTTTTTCTCCTCCTTAGACAAGCTTGCTGACATCCTATCAAACCCAGCAAAGTATCATCAAGATCCATCTTCTTCAACACGGCTCTCACCTTTACTTGCCACAACAAATTTTTACTAAACTTTTTCATGTGCGCGCATTTTGATCCTTTTCAATAATTTCTCATTATGTTTGCTTCTCTTCAACTCTTATTGACTCTTGGCATTCTTGAATCGCCATCTCGCAATCCACACAACTTTTGAATAACATTTTAGTCCCCATAGTTTTGATTTCGCCATTTTCTCTATTTTTCGCTTGTTTTCTCCAATTCTTCATCAAATCATAAACTTTACCTATTAGACACAATATAACACGAATTAGACTATATTTCATCAAAAGAACTATAAAATTTATATTGCTACCAATTGCATGAACCCCCACCAAAGCGGGACAAAGAACAAAGCAAAAAGGGAACGGTCAGAGTGTTTGCCTTAACCCAACAGGAGGCAATTGACAATTAAGACATAATGGCAGGTACCCTATCAATATCTACATTGCTTGCTTATGTTCTTATATTCGCAGGGCTGCTCATTCCTTACTTATACTATTACTAAATCTCTTACTGTTTGCGAAGAAGCCGTTGATGTTTTAGAAGTTACTACCCCATTAGACAATACGCTTAATACCAATCGATGACTAGGATTGCCAAGATGAATGGACAAGAATTTGTAGCTAACTTATGACCTTTAGAGATGAAGTATTCCTTTAATGCCATCTTAGGAATAGATTGATTGGGAAATATTTATGTGACAACACGAAGCTTCGAGAAGAAGGTAAATTTTTAGAAGTTTAGAGAAGATGAGATCAGGGTCCTAGGATTTTTCACCTAGATAAGATAATTTCGCTGACGAAATTAATTTAAGGATGGGAGACTGTAACGCCCCAAAAAATTTTATAGGATAAAACTATTGTTCTGTCTACATTTTATATTTTGGAAAATTAGGGGTTGAAGTGATACATGTATTAATTTCTATTTTATTTGGGTTAAATATTTAGATATTGATAGAGCAATGATTAGTATATCAATATTGTACTTGTTTGATAGCTCGTATTTTACAATTTATTTTAGGCTCGAGAAAAAATCGACTAAAAGAAATCAACACCAACATATTATAGTTTGAGAAAGTTATTAAACACTAGAATTTCAATTGAATTCAAAATTTGGATGTATAGGGAGATGCTATCCCGTTTAGAAAATGTTATATTATTTATTTTGAGTTGAATGGTAGGTTGACCTATAGGTTAGGTAGATAAGGTAAACTTTTTTCATTTCCTTTGACTTTGGGTTTTACAGGGATGTCAACCACTTGTAGATTAAATAAGGATAAGACACAGAAGTTTCTTTCTTTAATTGTAGGAATGATATTATATATTATATTACTGACCTTTCTCGGCATCATGCGCGGCACATCACGATTTTTATGCCACCAAGGGTGTCAATTGTCTTTGACTAGAATTAAATAAGTTACCTTTTTATTTTATTGAGTGAGAGGCATGTGCGAGTGATTGTAAAACCAATTATACAGAAAATAGTGTGATAGAAGGATTATATAGGGTAACATGAGAATGATTGGTGTATTCCTTAAATAAGTGCTCAAATTTGGAATAAAAGAAGGATGATATATTTTTGTACCAGTGGGTACACGATTATACACAAGGCAACAGAGAAAAAAAAATTGCGAACTTGATCAATCAAGGTTGTATACTTTGTGCAAGTTGATCTATCCTTACAATATTATAATTTTTTTTACGTAATTTATTTCATGAAATGCTGTTGACTTGTGGGTCTTCTCTTTTGAGTTTTCTCAATTGTTTGCACAAAAATGTGTTAGACCATTCGATTTATCTCCGATTGCTCTTGATGGCATGGAATGTTATAAATTTATATTTAAAAAGTTATTATATTATTTTGGACGCGCGTTTCCTACTGAGTTTAAATTACTCATTCCTTCAAATTTTAACATTTCAAGTTAAATCGGTAAAACGTGGATGATGGTTAAGTGGTGTGCAGGTTGCCAAGTAAAATTTTCAAGAAAACATTCAACAAAATTTGTTAGGATATTTTGTGTTTCTCCTTAGTTTCATTAAATGTTCTTAATTTCGTGACGCTACATTTATTTAATTCAATACATTAATGTTCAATAAATTAAGAGTTTAAAATTTTCAATTATATATTTCTGCTTCAAATATGTTTATGAAATGATATCGGTAACACTCCAAAATTTAAGTCAATAAAGTTGGGGCGTTTACATTTTCAGCTCATGGTATTTGAGTCATCTCGAACTTTTCAAAGGAGGGAAGCAAGCCCATAACCTTTTTGAGGTATGCAACCATGCTCTTATTTTTTTGCTGTGAAGTTGCTATTAACTTGACTCATAATCAATTGTGAGTCGCTGTTAACCACCGGTTTCCTTACTTGCATCTCTTTTGATAACCGGAGGCTTGCTAATAATGCCTCATATTCAGCTACATTATTGGAGGCCTTGAAATCGAACCTCATAGCACAATTGAGCTTGTGTTCCTTCAGGCTCACTAGCACAACCCCAACTCCTAAGCTTGTCTCTCTTGAAGAGCCATCTACAAATAGATTCCAGGCTGGGTATCAAGTTTCATTGTCATTTTGATGCCCGGGGCCTCATTAAACTCTAGTACAAAATTTGCGATTAATTGGCCCTATATGGCAGTTTGGGGCTTATACACAATGTTGAACTCGCTTAACTCTATGGCCTATTTCATTAGCCTTCCTGAGGCATCAGGTTTCTGAAGGACTTACCTAAGTGGAAAATTGGTTACTGGTGTGGGCCTGGAAATAGGGCCTTAACTACCTGAAGGCAGTTGCTAAAAAAAAGAGCGAGCTTCTCCATGTCCATACACAACGCGTTTTCGCTCATAGAATGGCGTTGCTCACGTAGTTAATAGGCAGTTGGATACCACCTTCTTCCCTTACGAGTACTAAGCCCGCGACCTTTACAGATACAACTAGGCATAACAACAATGATTCTCCTTCTTTGGGTTTGGAGAGTTGGGGCCTATGATAAATGCTTCGTCAATTGAATTGCAGACAGTGGGTATGGGGTTGATTGATGTAATGAGATGGGGATGGGTTGTGGTGGTTTGTGAGATTGTATTAAATCTACCTGATTTTTTTTTAAAAAAAATTCATTATGATCTAATTTTTGAACTTGAAAATTTAAATGTAATATGAATTAATTTAGTGGTTGATTTAATTGAAAAACCAAAAAATAAATTCGAAATGGAATTAAAATTTAGTTTGTAAATATATCAATAAAGGGGACCTAGATCTTAATGTGGGGGGACAAGAACAATTTGAATATGAAGACAAAATACACATATATATTATGTATATATTTAAAAAAAATCGAAATAATAGGAAGATGCAAATGTGTGGTTGTCTGGCAAAAACATTTCTTGTAGATGGAGTTTTTTGACATGGTTCATTAAAGGAGATATCCATAATAATTAATATTATAACATTTTTAACTAATCTTCATAAACTAAAACTACACTAGACATATATAGAAAATTCAAGAATGCTACACAAACACCGAACTGTAAGGCTCGGTGTTCGGCCCCTCACATGGGGACGGGGCCCACGCATTAATTGGGCGTGGCCCCTCCCCTCATGTGAGGAGAGTGCATTATTCTAGAAAATTAGCAAGGCGTTGACTCAACTTGCTCTATAAATGGAAAGAGGAGAATGGTTATTATTTCTTGTAGAATGAGATCTGAAGAGAGAGAGAGAGAGATGAGTGCAGATCAATTCTATGCCATGAATGGAGGAGATGGATATCAAAGCTATGCAAAGAATTCATCTTTTCAAGTATGTCGATCTTTCTTTCTTTCATCCCATATTTTCGATATAATTAAAATAATTAATGCCAATGTGGTTTTTATACAGAAAGGAGCAATTGAGGTTGCGAAAGAAATCATCGAAGAAGAAATTAGAAATAAACTTGACACAGAAAAGCTCTCTTCATCTTCCACAAATATCATTTGCATTGCGGATTTCGGGTGCTCTACAGGACCTAATACATTCCATGCAATGCAAATTATAGTTGAAACAATAAAGAAAAAAATTGAAAAACAATTATCAGTTTCTCATCAGATGCCTGAGTTTCAGGTTTTCTTTAATGACCGGATCTCCAATGATTTCAATACACTTTTTGCTTCTCTTCCACAAGACAGACAATACCATGCAGCCGGAGTTCCCGGTTCATTTCACGATTGCCAGTTCCCTAAGGCGTCACTTCACTTTGCTTATTCGTCTTTTACACTCCACTGGCTTTCTGAGGTGCCTCAAGAGGTGGCGGATCCCTTATCTCCTGCATGGAATAAAGGGAAAATTTTGTATTATGGCGATAAAAATGAAGTTTTCAATGCTTATGCAGCTCAGTTTGCAAAGGATTTGGACTCATTCTTGAAAGCAAGGGCACAAGAATTGGTTTTCGGAGGGCTAATGGCACTACTTGTTTGCTCTGAGTCGAATCATACTAAGAACATCTCTACTATCACTTTTCCGTCATTCGAACTTTTGGGTTCTTGCCTTATGGACTTGGCTAAGGAGGTAAACATTGAGAATTGATTTATTTAAGAATTGCCTTAATTTGATCCTAGCTAAAAATTAATTTCTTTGCGGTCATGGAAATCATTCTCTTCATAAAACCTTCTTTCGTCCTAAATTATTCACTAAACTTTGTTTCAGGGACTGTTTGATACGGCTAAAGTAGACTCATTCAACATGCCTCTGTATTTCCCAACTCCTAATGAATTGAAAGCCTTGATTGAAAAACATAAAGATTTCAGTATAGAAAGAATGGAGATACTTAGCAATCCACCAAAGCGTTTCACTACTCCGGACTCCAAATCATTTGCCATGTTCCTAAGAGCATGGATTGAGGGACTTCTACGGACTCACTTTGGAAACGCAGTCATGGATAAATTGTTCAGGAGATATGAACAAAAAGTTGAAGAGTCTAAACTTCTATCAAATCCTAATGAGAATTCTATGATGACATTTGTCCACCTCAAGTGCAAACGGATTACTTGATTCCTCGATCTAATAGTTCCTACGGAATATAGATGATGGGATCGGTCTTTTAACTTTGTTTCTTTTTCTTTCTAATGCATTCGTGTCAGTCTTCTTCACTACACCTTCTTCAGTCCTGCTATCCTACTATCGTAAATAAAAAGTATTAGCTATAAAATATGCTGTTCTTTGTTGAAAGATGTAATAAATGTTAGTCTAAATGTTTTCAATCATATCTTGAAGGTGTTAAGGTGGAATCTCGCATATACAAAAATATGGACTAACCATCGAGACTTAAGCTAATTTTTTTAACAAGATTGGCCTTAAATTTTAGAACCTAATCTGCATATGATATTAAAATTTATAATGCTCAAATGAACAATTCGATAAGTTCAGAAGCAGCAATTCGATAAGTTTAGAAGCTAAATTGAATCATCAAATTCTAATATTAATGCCCCCAAATGAGCCACTTACATTCTAAAGTGCTCGACATTCCAGGGATGGGGTTGTTCCTTTCCATCCAGGCTCTCAATTTTATAGGTCCCAAAGCCTCAGCTCTTCAGATAAACAGTATGGACCTCCCAGTTAGGACCCAGCATCCATCGCTACATTGGGTTCTTTGGAGAAAAGGAAAGCTCTTCTTGACATGAGATCTCCTCTTCGATATGGCCTCTTTCTGACTTTGGATTGTAATATCTAGCCATTTTTTATTGGTAGGCAGGCGCGGAGCCAGCACCCAGCGAGGGGGCACGGCCGCGCGTGCTGGCTCCGCCGGAGACTTCAGTCAGTTCAGTGGCCGCCGGGATGGCAATTGCAGATGGCGCAAGTCAGCCAGGAGGAGAAGGAGGAAGAACTCAGTTTCAACCGGAGAAGACTTAAGGAACATGTAATGGATTGTGGTTAGGTAATGTTCGTCCATCAATTGTTATAGAGCCAAAGTCGATTACTCCTGACACTGCCACCACTTTTCGTCAACACAAATCATTAGCGCCTCACCACGCACTGCGAGTCATCGGATTCGCTGTCAGCAGCCTCACAACGCCGTCGAAGTGTCATGACTGTCACTGATCGTCTTCTGCGTTAGCTCTTAACGCCGTGCAATGGCGACAATACAATGTTTTTGTCGAGGTCTGCAAGTCTTGGCTGCTGCAGGCGACGATTCTGCGCTTGGAAGAGATGAGACAGAGAGAGAAAGAGAAATTTTTTAGGTATTTTGAAATGAATGGTGCGACCACTTTATTAATTTTTTCTTTGGGCTAATCTAACTGAAATTGGGCCTATTTAAAAAAAAATTCGCCCAAATATGGAAATTGAATCCATTAAAACGGATAGTCCATGGATCTTTGGATATATTGGTTTTAATTGACATTTCTCCCAACTCCTAAACCTGAAATTAGTCCCAAAATCGCAAACCCTTGGTCGGTTGGTCCCTTCCATTTCCATAGTTCCATTATATAGAAACCGGTTACCCACTACCCAGTTACAATGGAGGTGTTTGATTCAAATTGTGACTATTTGATCCAACCAAGAAGACACTCGAAGATAACTGATTGATGCCAAGAGAAAGAAGGAAGAATAAATTTTTTAATGTGTTTGCAAATGAGAATTCGCCCAGAATTTATAGACACTGAGGCAACTGTTTGAATAGGTGTATCCCTTGAAAGTGACTGTTAAAAATGAACAGATGCACCTATTCAAAAACTTTTGAAAATAAAATTCTCTTTCGGGGACGTTGCCCCCGAGCCCCCACGGGGGCGCTGCCCCCTCGACCCCCGCGACCTGACCGGACAGGTCGAACCCCGTTGCTCAGCGGCAAACACTAATCCGGATGGCAAATCATTTACAAAACAAAAAAATTAAACACATGCAAAATGATGAAAAATATCTAACAGTTGAGCACTTGGAATCTTGGATGATTTGAGTTGAGTGACTCTATTGGAGATTTGGAGACTCGAAGTGCTGACTGGCTTGAGTGTTGTACATGTTATTAGTAATTAGTGAGAGTGAATCAATGTTTAATTCATATAGTCGTAGCAAAGGAAATTAGGATTTATGAATTATTACTAAGAATTGTGATTTTTTAATCAAATTTTAATATGATGTTGATTATCGACAGTCAACAATCAATAGTCAAAGTCAAAGTCAACCGCCCTAGCTGAATGTGGAACCTAGATCCGCCCCTGTTGGTAAGAGGCAAGCCTTATTTGGGAATCATCTCTCCTTTCTTCAAAGAAATCTAATTCACACCTCCTTATTTTATCATTTGATATCTCATTAAAGTGCATGCAAAGAGATGAAGGTAGTCCTACCTCAACTAGGCTCATAGCTTTAGCTCCATATGCCATAGGGAATGGGGTCTCTGCGTTGCTGTACGGCTTATGGTATGAATCACTCACAGTATGTGGGAAAGCTAGTCTATCCACACCCCTTTCAATGCCTCAAGCTTATTTTTGAAGGTATGCTTGATGTCTTGTTGTCTGCCTTCACTTGGCCATTTGCATAAGGGTGATCGAGAGAAGAGAAGTGCTTCTTGATTCCTAGCTCTTCACACAAATCCCTAACCATTTTGTTGTCGAACTGTCTCCTATTTTCATTTACTAGCAAGTGGAAAATTCTAAACTAGCAGATGATATTATTCCAAATGAACTTGGATGTATTGGCCTCAGTGATATTTGTCAGCGACTCAGTCTCGACCCATTTGGTGAAGTAATCAATGGTGTCAATTGCGTGGCTACCATCCCCCATTTAGAGAAGGGCCATAGACTAGATATAAGAGTTAGTTCATGCGAGGGCAGCCTTTGAATGGTAGAGACTAATGGGCATCCTTTTTTAGAGTCGACCAGCAATACCCTTACCTTAGTACTTTCCGTACTCATGATGGACCTCCAGTGTGGTTTCCACAAACTCCTTCATGAATTTAATAGAGAACATAATATTGGCCTCCTACCCTCCAATGCATCTAATGAGAAGTGATGATAAGCCTCTCTTATAGAGTAATTTGATCTGGAGCACAAAGTGAGCAGCTTTTCACCTGCGTTTGTTGGTCTAGTCTTTGTCCTCTAGTATTATATGATCCTTTAGACAGGCAATGATAGGTTGCATCCACGATGGAGTCCCTTCATTCCGCATTACTTCTTTCGCTTTGGAGATAGAGATCTAGCGAAATGCTCAATCTATGCTACCTTGAGTAGGTCCAAATCCTTGCTACTGGCCAATTTCAATAAAAAGTATTGGCATGATTGTTTTCAGCTCGTGGTATTTGAGTCAACTCAAACTTTTCAAGGAAGGAAGGAAGCCCCGTAAACTTTTTGAGGTATCCAGCCATGCTCTTATCTCTCACAATGAAGTTGCCTTTAACTTGACAAATCACTAAATGTGAGTCACTATTAACCACCAGTTTCCTTACTTGCATCTCTTATGATAACCCGAGGCTTGCTAATAACGCCTTGTATTCAGCTACATCATTGGAGGGCTTGAAATCGAACCTCATAGCACAATTGAACTTGTGTCCCTCCAGGCTCACTAGTAACACCCCAGCTCCTGAGCCTGTCTCTCTTGAAGAGCCATCTACAAATAGGTTCCAGCCTAGGGGTGTCATATGCTTCCGTTGCCATTTCGATGTTCTCGATCTCAGTAAACTCTACCATAAAATCTGCGAGTGACTGATAGTTTGTGGTAATTTAGGGGATTGTACACAATGTCGAACTCGTTTAAGCCTATGGCCCATTTCATTAGTCTTCCTTAGGAATCGGGTTTCTGAAAATTTTACTTGAGTGGAAAATTGGTTACTACTTTTATGGTGTGTACCTAGAAATAGAGCCTTAAACTACCTGGAGACGGTTGCTATGGAAAGAACGAGCTTCTCCATTTCGGTATAACGCGTTGTCGTTGCTAGGATGGCCCTACTCACGTAGTAAATGGGTAGTTGGATACCGCCTTCTTCCCTTATGAGTACTAAGCTCACGGCCTCTGCAAATATAGCTATTTACAACAACAATGATTCTCCTTATTCGGGTTTGGATAGGAGGGGCCCTATTACAAATGCTTCATCAATTGAATTACAGATAGTGGGTATGGAGTAGATTGATTTCATGGGATGGGGTGTGTTGTGGTGGTTGGTGAGGCTATATTAAATATACCTGATTTTTTATTTTAAAAAAATTGTTACGATCTAATTTTTGAACTTGAAAATTTAAATGTAGGAAATTAGGTAATTTTCTCTTATTAATGCACATTATTTCAATCAAGTTAATATAAATTAATTTAGTGGTTGATTTAATTGAGAAACCAAAAAATAAATTCGAAATGGAATTAAAATCCAAAAAATGGGACCAAGATCTTAATGTGAGGGGGGCGGGGGGTCAAAAAAATTGAAAAGGACTAAATTCACATATATATTATGTATACATTTAAAAAAAAATTGAAATAATAGGAAGATGCAAATGTGTGGTGGTCTGGCAAAAACATTTTGACGTGGTTCATCAATAGAGATTTCCATAATAATTAAGGGTTATGCTACAAATATATTATGGTGTTTATAACAGTGCCACCTTTCTCACATAGAGGGAGACACATTTCAAATAAAATATAGTTTATTCAAAGTGGGCCATCTCCATCTGAGGGGGTGGATACCATTATGGATACCACATTATGCACAAGTAACATATTCCAATAATTAATAATATAACATTATTAACTAGTCTTTATATTCTAAAACTACGTACACCAGACATATATAGAAAGTGAGCAAGGCGTTGACTCAACTTGTTCTATAAATGGAAACAGGAGAATGGTTAATATTTCTTGTAAGTTGAGATCCGGGGAGGGGGAGAGAGAGAGAGATGGATGCAGGTCAATTCTATGCCATGAAAGGAGAAGATGGATATTAAAGCTATGCAAAGAACTCATCTTTTCAAGTATGTCGATCTTTCTTTCCTTGATTCCATAGTTTTCGATATAATTAAAATAATTAATTCTATACCTGGTTTTTATACAGAAAGGAGCAATTGAGGTTGCAAAAG